GGGGGGGGGGGGGGGTGTCAACGTTTCAGTGATGATGCTTCTGCTGGAACCGCAGTCCACAGTAGCCACACGTGCCCACTTTAGTGTCCTTATCCAAGTTTATATAAACTTTGGGGTGTCCAAGAGCTCCGCCACCTCCATCACAAGACACCACCCTGGTCTCAACGTGCCTCACGGGTTCTTCTGCCACGAGCATAATGGCAAAGTTCTTATTCACCTCTTTCTGCTTCCCAGTGAATCTGACTCTCCTCGTGTCATTTGTATCAAACACCTGGCCTGTGTGAGTTATAGGTTCCCCGGTACTTGAAACCTCTATACTGTAGCGGTGAACTGGTGCCGCAATAAACCTCAAAGGTGAAACCAGCTCCTTAACATTTCTACTGAAGGACAGAGCTCTTCCTACAGCAGCCGCCATGTTTACAACAGCCTGGAAAGTCAGACCTGTGCCCCCGTCCCCCATTGGTCCAAGGCCAGACTAACTGAACATACTGACTAGTTCACTGCTCAGTCAGCTGCAGCAACCAATAACGTGGCTTTGCTAGCCTTTAGCATCTCTAAGAAACTAAAGAGGAGGATCTCCCACTGAAGGACAAGAAAGTACTGCAACACAGGGAACATCATTTTGAACCTATGTGCACTACACACATGCAAGACTGGCAGACTGGACTGCAGAGAAATGTGGCTTCAACTCTCATCCTCCATTCCCAAGAGATTTGAAAAAGAGCTAATGAAGGGTCCCGTCAGTCAAAAAGGACTGTTCATTCCCCGTTTCTAGTTGGTGCTGGAGCATATTCAATCATCCTCAGACACATGGGAACAGGTCTGGAACAAGTGGCGTGGCCCCATTTGGACACCTGTGCCTCCCATGCTCTGCTGCAACTTCCTGGGTTCTTCCTGCAGTGGCCCCCTCCATCCGGCTGCAGCCAGCACCAGTTTTTGCCAGTGCACCAGGGTGAGGATCTGTGGATCTGTCTAATTTCAACAAATCCATCATAGAGAGACCGTTTCACATGACAATCAAGCAGGTGTTAGAATATGTCCATCAGAACCACTGGTTTACGTCCACCTGTCACACGTCTCTCCAAGTAAACATCCTGGAGCTCCTCACTTTTCTCCACTGCTGCAGAATCAGCATGCTCTGGTCCACACAGACAACCGAGAGGCAGCAGCTTACATACACTGTAAACTGCCAGGGAGGTGTCTGCTCAGCTCGTCTGTTGGACACAGCCTGACGCCTGCTGTGCTGGGTGTGCACATATTTCTGCTGCATCTTGATTATTTCAAAGAAGTGCAGATGTTTGTGTGACTATGGTATTGAACAAGCCCACTGAGGCATAAAATACTTTGTACATCCTGCTTCACCTTTAACCCACTGGCAATAGCTTTACATGGTGAAGCCTACACAAAATACGTAGAACATTTGTTTTTGTGTGTAACCCCAGGTTCTGTGAGTATAGACCCAGCCCTTGAAAATCTGGCTGAAGAAAGAAGCTCTTTGGGAGCAGATTACCTCTCTCAGCACAATTTATACAGCCTGCGGTGGGGCCCACGAAGGAGGTGGTGTGGACCAATGTTTTCAGTGTTGCGAGTGCAAATGGTAAACTCCACTAGTGATAGCTTGAAAGAGCTTCACCTATACTCAGAAACTGAGGTTACAGTACATAACCAACATCCAGTGCAGCAAAGAAACATATATTTGCCCCAGGTTCTTCGGTTTTCTCCCACAGATCAAAGACATACATGTTAGGTTTATCAGCAATTCTAAATTGTCCCTAGGTGTGAGTGGAAATGTGAGTTTGTCTCGATTGTCTCCATGTGTCCCTGTGGGGACCTGTCCAGGGTGTCCCCCACCTCTTGCACAGACTGCAGGAGATAGGCACCATCTCCTGCAAGGGAAAAGAGAGTATTGGCTGGACAGATGAGTGTCTCTGTTTCCAGTGATTTTCTGTGAAACAGTCTGTTTACGTCCACAGGTCATTCTTTCCTACTACTTTGGATTTGTTGCTGTCAGCTGTGAATATTCCTTTTCTAAATACCGTACGTCTTGTTCTAGTCTCCAAAGGTTAACAAGCTCTACAAATACATTTGATACATGTAAGACTTTGACAGATTACTTTTTCAGTTTTTCTCCAGCAGCTCAACGGCATGAGCACAGAAACACAGTGAGGAACTCCTGAATGGACAGGAAGCAGACATTCAGGAAACCAAGCAGGAAACAACAAGAAAAATCAACTAATGCCATTACCAACCTACTGTACCTTTTATTTATGCTAATGTAAAGTGTATTTTACTAATATTGTTTGAAACAATTACTGTTCAAAATGCATTTTTCTCATGGTTTTGTTGTTTTACAAAAATAAAACAGATTTCCTGTTTGAAAGTTGTACATGTTTGATTTCCACCCATCCATTTGTCAGGATGGTGCCCTCTTGTGGTCTGTCCTGGCTCCTGCGTCCCCAGCTGTCCTGATTGTCTCTGTCACAGGTGTTCTTGTCTGTCATTTGTGTTGGGGTATTTAATAAGTCTGCATCTTGGTCTTCCTCGTTGTCTGGGCTTTGTCTCTGGTATGTCTTCCTACTCCTGCATTCCTCCCTCCGTGTCTCCTGATACCCATGTACGTCAGCGCTTTGCTTTTGAAGAGAAACATTTTTAGTTAATTAATCCTTCGTATTCTCTGAGTCCTGCTTGAGCCTGGGTTCAACCTGCTCCAGACACTTAACCCCATCCATCCATCCATCCCTCCCTCCATCCTTCCATCATCCATCCATCCATCCTTCCATCCATCCATCCTTCTATCATCCATCCATCCATCCTTCTATCATCCATCCATTCATTCATCCAGCCATCCCTCCATCCTTCCATCATCCATCCCTCCATCCTTCCATCCATCCATCCACCCATCGATCCATCCTTCCTTCTATCCATCATCATCATTCTATCCTTCCATCATCCATTTATCCATCCTTCCTTCCATCCATCCACCCATCCATCCATCCATCCTTCCTTCCATCCATCTTTCCTTCTATCCATCATCATCCATCCTTCCATCCATCCATCCATCCATCCATCCAGCCTTCTACCCATCCATCCATCCATCCATCCATCCAGTTCCAGGGTCTGGTCTCTGAGGCAACAACTTGAGTAGGGAGGTCCAGACATCTTGCTCCATAGTTGTAAGATACACAATATGAACTGAATAGTTTAGAAATTCATAATGATTCATAAATTATCCTGCCCCTTTACACCACTTTTGAAAGAAGGAAAATTAATCATCACTAATGAGAAATTAACAGTCTAATAAGTTACCCTAAATTGTGAGTTATTCTCTTCGAAGAAATAACCACATTTACATAAAAACACGAATGCTGAGAAATGACGTTTACAATGGTTGTGTGACTTTAATGTCCTTAATTAAACATACCAAGTTGTGGAAATTATTATTAATGAAAAGTGTTATAAAATTATCCTAAAGCTTTTAACTTAAGGTAAAGTGTAGAGAATGGGGAATTTAGTATATTTAGTGGTAACTTGAGAGGTGAAACAAAGGTGAATTTTTTTTTTAAAAAGAAACATCAAAAACTTTTGTTGAAGTGAACTCATCACTGCCTGAGGCACAATAAGTTATCCAGCAGATTATAACCTAATTATTTCCTACAGAGAATTAGTAGTTCTGGGCCATTTCGCATAAAATATACCTGATAGGAGGTGATCTCCTGAAGGACCCTACGGTGGCTGTTAAGAGACGGCTGTCTCTCAGGGAATGGGACGTCACTCCGTGGCTTTATTAAAAGGAACAACAGGTTAGTCAAAAGCAGGGTATTCAACTGATGTCCCAGGGGCCAAATCAGGCCCACAGGTGACCTAAGTTTGGTCCACCAATGGGTTCATTTTTAAATAAAACTAGCGTTTTAACTATAAAACAAAGTAACTTAATGATAAGAACTACTGGATATCTGACCCATGAGCACTTGGCTTTCAGTAACTGTGGCTCCCTGGGCAGTTTAGTTGAACAGTCTTGGTCTAACGTTTGTAACATTGGAGGTAAATTAACTGGCAACACTGGAGGTAAATTAACTGGCAACACTGGAGGTAAATTAACTGGCATCACTGGAGGTAAAT